GGGGGTGCATTGCTGCAGGAGGGACTGGTGCACTTCACAAAATAGATGGCATCATGAGGAAGGAAAATTATGTGGATATATTGAAGCAACATCTCAAGACATCAGTCAGGAAGTTAAAGCTTGGTCGCAAATGGGTCTTCCAAATGGACAATGACCCCAAGCATACTTCCAAAGTTGTGGCAAAATGGCTTAAGGACAACAAAGTCAAGGTATTGGAGTGGCCATCACAAAGCCCTGACCTCAATCCTATAGAACATTTGTGGGCAGAACTGAAAAAGCATGTGCGGGCAAGGAGGCCTACGAACCTGACTCAGTTACACCAGCTCTGTCAGTTGGAATGGGCCAAAATTCACCCAACTTATTGTGGGAAGCTTGTGGAAGGCTACCCGAAACGTTTAACCCAAGTTGAACAATTTAAAGGAAATGCTACCAAATACTAATTGAGTGTTTGTAAACTTCTGACCCACTGGGAATGTGATGAAAGAAATAAAAGCTGAAATCAAATCATTCTCTCTACTATTATTCTGACATTTCATATTCTTAAAATAAAGTGGTGATCCTAACTAACCTAAAACAGGGAATTTTTACTAGGATTAAATGTCAGGAATTGTGAAAAACTGAGTTTAAATGTATTTGGCTAAGGTGTATGTAAACTTCAGACTTCAACTGTACATACATACACACACAAAAGTATGTGGACACCACTTCAAATTAGTGGATTTGGCTATTTCAGCCACACCTGTTGCTGACAGGTGTATAAAATCTAACACACAGCCATGCAATCTCCATAGACAAACATTGGCAGTAGAATGGCCTAACTGAAGAGCTTAGTGACTTTCAACATGGCACCGTCATAAGATGCCACCTTTCCAACAAGTCAGTTAGTCAAATTCCTGCCCTGCTAGAGCTGCCCCGGTCAACTGTAAGTGCTGTTATTGTGAAGTGGAAACGTCTAGGAGCAACGGCTGAGCTGCGAAGTGGTAGGCTACACAAGCTCACAGAACAGGACCGCCGAGTGCTGAAGCCTGTAGCGCGTAAAAATCATCTGTCCTCGGTTGCAACACTCACTACCGAGTTCCAAACTGCCCCTGGAAGCAACGTCAGCACAAGAACTGTTCATCGGGAGCTTCATGAAATGGGGTTTCCATGGCTGAGCAGCCGCGCAGCATTTCACTGTACTGTTTTACACCTGCTGTATCCTGTGCATGTGACAAAACGTTGAAAACTTGGACATGCTGAGGAGAGTCCCTTGTGAATTGGATGTACCAGAAGAGATCAGGAGATACTGATAGTGTAGTTACAGCTGAGCGCTACCAGGTATCCTTCAAGGGCAGTAACATGTCCACTGCTGGGCAGCAGCCTCTTCACCTCTGCAATCGGAAAAAGTAGTAATAGTTTTTATAATTAATTAATAACTTTATAATAACTAATAGGCTAACATCCAGACAAAGAGAATAAGGAAACCCTAGGCCCTATACCGTACCAAAATACCATGCAGCATGGAGCATCAAGTCAATGTGCCATTATGTTAATGTATAGAAGAAGAATAGACTTATAGACTTTATGTTCCATCCACTGTAGCTGAGAAGTCTCATAATTGTGGGCCTCTGCACTAAGGGAGGAGCTTATGGTATAATAAATTGTTTAGTTGAACTGGTAGAGGGATTCCTTGTGAAATACTCCCCTTGTCTGTTTGATATTTGGAACTATGAAATGTCTCTATTACAGAATGTTGTCTTTTCCCTAATCATTTCAAAATTATACTTTGGCAGAAATATATTACATTTTCAGGCCAAATTAAGCTCATCTGACAAATAAAATAATATCCCCACATCTGAGTTTCTGAAAGAAAGGCACAGACCAGTAGCCTATGGACTAGTCCAATATACACCTGGGCTATGCTGCCCAATGCCACAAATAGTTATCTTTACTATGCATTTAAAACAGTAGTCAAGTCAAGTCAACTCATTTGTTTTATGATTTAAACCAATGATTGACACGGGGTGCAACTATGATCATCAACCCTGTCATGACAGCGCACATTAACGTAAACGATTGGCAATGGCATCACAATGTAGCCTATTACGCATGGGTTGTAGTCTCGATTTGGTCCATAAAATAAACGTCTCACTCCTGCCTGGAGTTAATCAAGTAGAACCCTAATGTGTTCTTTCATTATCTCGTGAAGGTGAACGTCGAGGGCGCACGGTACTGTGTCATATTAAACAGTCACTGGACAAGTGTAACATCAAGATTTACTTAAGCGGCGGGCAGAAACCACGGCAATCACAAGCGGTCGAGAAAGGGTTGGGGATAGGAACCACTGACTCAACAGGACTGCGCACAGAGAACGCTGTAGTGGCGAGACCTTCAGAAAGATCCAGCGCTTCGACGCAAAAGGATGGATTCTTTCAGATCGGGCTCCAGCATAGGACTGTCTCCCTCTCCCAGAGACCGACAATCACCCATCAGTTTTGATCAGGAGCACTCACAACCGGGAACAATGGCCGGAGGTCGGGCGGAAACACGTGGCTTCCCATCCGAATCGTTGTGCGTAAAGTACGGGGAATTTTTAAAGCACACGGCTGCAGCCGCAGCAACGGCGGAGAGCAGTGGTGGGGAGCAGAGTCAGGATGATGACAGTGATGGAATTGGCAGGAGTGACATGGTGCTTTTTCCTGAGGAAAGGCTCATGGCATCAATGGCCAAATGTGACGCAGCAGGTAAGAAACACAAAGAGCAGAAGGTGCTGAGGCTCAACATTAACGCCCGGGAGAGGAGGAGAATGCACGACCTGAACGACGCGCTCGATGAACTGCGGTCGGTGATCCCCTACGCGCACAGCCCATCCGTACGGAAGTTATCCAAAATAGCCACTTTGCTCCTCGCCAAAAACTACATCCTCATGCAGGCACAAGCACTTGACGAGATGAGAAGACTTGTCAGTTATCTTAACCATGGACCTGGCGTTACTGCTGCGAATGCTGCTGGTGCACCCGGATTAGGGGTCTATGACCAGCAGACAGGATACCCGTTCTCTACTGGGATTCCGGACCCTTTCAATAGCAATGCAAATCTCTTCAATAAATAAACATTTCAACCATAAACCTTTAACAGGTGTGTCCGACGCTAACATGGAACTTCAAGCTTTGTGCGCACAACTGAATTGATGGGACCAGAATGACTGACAGAAGTAATCACATATTACCAGAACATGGAGTCCTATACTGTATAGGACTCTGTTCTGCATGGTGCTTACGTTTCGAAGATAGTTGTTTTGCAAAATCTAACAAAATGACAGCTAACATGGTCAAAAATGGTTATCCTTTAACAAATTATGTTTAGTCTTATTTAACCATTATGTCCTACAGTACATTCATTTTCTTCAGTTTGATTAGATGTTCAATGGATAAATTGTATTGGTGACATAAGAGATGGTATGGTCTGTTTTCCAGTAGCCTATACCTCAATGAATGGGCTATGTACAACCAAACCCAAATTAGTTACCAGTTACAAAGAGAGCAATTGTGACTATTGGGTGAAATTAATAGGTAGCCTATAGGCCTACATTTCAATCTTAAATTGAGGAATTTGATAATGATATTGTTTTTACCATCGAGGACCACTTTCAAAGTGTTTTAATTAATACTTTTAAGTGCTATCCTCCACATTGTACATTTTGTTGTAGGCCTATATGTCTTTTACCCAAATAAATTCAATACAAATATTTCCATACATGTAATTTGGTCATTAATTGTGTAATTTACATTTCCCTAAATACTATTTAATAATGCCTTTGACAAACATAAATGGAGTCGTTTCATTACCAGGGACAGCATTAATGACAAACAACAATCAGAACATTGTACTCCCACTCAATTGAGTTGGTCAAACAAAATAATTCCTCTGAGCATATAGTTAACCTTGCAGATTCACTGGATACATTAAGAGAATAGGTCACTATTGGTAAAAGGACTAAAATTACTGCCACATGCAGAACTGATTTGTCCAGTTTTTATTTCATGAATTGTAAATAGTAAGTACCCTGTAGGACTCTTGAAATAGGAAAGACATTTGAATGTATAACTTTAAATGGTTGGTTATTTGGTTAATGTTATAGAAAAATGAAACGAATACATAAGTCATCAAATGTTTTAGGGACACCACCATCTAATACATAAAGCTTTTATCACATTGTACTATACCCTGTAATATAGTTCAACTATTTTATTCAACTACTGTTGTACAGTATAGATCAGGGATGGGGCCCCCCTCTTGACAGTGGAGAGAGAAATTGAAGTTTTTGAGTTAATTTCCTGCAATTCTACACATTTTGTCATGGGGTGGAGAGAAATGTTTGCCATTTTTATTACGATATCTCAGTTAGAGTGACTAACAAAATCAATGGGGGCCCCCCGATCGGTAATTCAACCATGATTACTACAGGTCAAGATAGCTGGCTAGACTAACTTACCATAAATTAAAACATTTGCTGACAAGGGCTAATTGAGTGACTGACATAAGAGAGAAACTGCTGATGCACAACCACATTTCGAAATTGAACCGTGTGTATTCTACTATTCTAACTCTCAACAGTAAGTTGAGACCAACAGTTTTTTTTCTTGTTTTGGGACATTGATCCAGGGCCCCCTATACCCTGGTATATATGGTTTTATAATGCAAGGCATAATAAACATTAACATATTTTTAGCATTCAAATAAATACTGTTATTAACAGCAAAAACTGTTAACTGTAAGTAATTAATGGATCATTCTGTCCTATGGAATAAAACACCAAAGGTCCCTAGCTAGCAGATTCACCAGTCCTGCCCACTGTTAGAGCCTGCCTAATATAATACACTGACAAATTAGCAATGCATTGCTGTTCAGTCAATAGCTTCTCGTGTGAACAATCATCCATGGGTGTGTCCCAAATGGCACCCTACTGCCAATATAGTGCAGTAATTTTGACCAAAGCCCTATGGGCCCTGGTCTGAAGTAGTGCACTATGTAGGGAATAAATAAGGTACCAATCGGGATGCAACCTATGAGAAAATAGACAAATCCATTAGCCACACAGGGCTCATCCGTCTAGTGTTTGTTCATATATAGATGTCCTCCTCTCAGGCCCGACGTGGCCTGTAGCGGATCTGGACGTCAGTGGCAGGTAGCAGGATGCCCAGGCCAGCACGGCTGGGGTCCAGGGTACACGGCTCCTGCCCTTCCACCACCTCCACGTCAAAGTAGAGCAGTAGCAGAGACAGGAACTGCTTTATCTCATTCACCGCAAAGTACCTTCCTGGGCACTTAGTGGAGCCCGAGCCGAAAGACATCCGGTAGTACTTCAGCTTCTGGCCGTCCTTATAGAAGTCAGTCTTTTCCTTTCCGTCTTCGATGTATCGGTCAAACTTGTAGATCTGTTGGAGGGGTAATATAAATAAGTGAGTAGGCCTTTATTTTCTTGTGCCTTATAATAAAGGGTAATTTTCCAGAAAAGTTTCCATTTTGCTTAGTCACAGTTCATGGCAAGGTTATCACCAGTCACACCCTGATTACATTAGCATGCATGGTGTGACCTTCTGAAGGCCAGTGGGTGAATTCAATCACTCAGAGTCCATGCATTCTGCTCATTAATCTAACCTGGGGACACACACACGCGCACCAAACAGCAGGGGGTGTGGGGTGGTGGAGGAAGGCACTTCAGCAGATCAACAAAACCCCCAGACCAGACTAGACACAGTGAAGGTGAGAGAAAGCCTACAGCCATTCTAGGACGCCCACAGAATCTGAACGACTGGTCTTCTTTACCTCTGGATTCTCGTAGATCTCGGGGTCCATGTGCATGCTCTGGGGATACAGGGAGATGATATCTCCTTTCCTCACTCCGATTGAGCGCTCTCCCTCCAGCCGCAAGCCGAAGTCCTCCTGGGCCACGCGGATGTTCATGGAGGCTGAAGACAGCCGCAGACTCTCATTTATGGAGCTCTCTGAGAACACAACACAGAACAGTTCAGTTAGTCACCATGCATTTTTGTTTTGTAGTTACCAACATTGCCATGGGTTTTGTTTTGGCCTATCTGAACATATTAAAAAAAAAAAAAAAGTACCTTGAGTGGCCCAATACTGACTCACTACATACATATACTCACACAGGAGGGAAATCTTTGAGACTTGAAGGGCTATTAGTTAGAAATATGAACTGCTCTAGCAAAATGGCTAAAACACAAGCTGAGTAATCGTAAGTCATACATAGTTTTATTTCCACATGCATACATAAAGGAATCCTGACTAGCAGTGTTTTTCATTAAAACCATTACAATCTTAAGAGAAAACACTATAGGCCAAAGAGAGAAGAATATGAAATGTAGCTACTGTAAGTACTAAGTACTCAACCAACCCCCTATCACTTATAAGACCAAACAGATGTGAAACAGATATTCCACTGTGTTCCCCTTAGGGAGATAAATCATTAGTGTGAGAGAGAGAGGGAGCCACAGAGAATCTACACCAGTGGCATTTGTCCCCGAGCATGCAGTTGTCAGAAGAGATGAGGCTACAGTCCGCATGGTGGGTGCAGCAGCGTGATCTAATGTGACAGGTACAGAGTCTGGAGGGATCCTTTTGGGGGGTGGGGACAGGAGGATTTGCCCTAAATTGTACACACAGACCAACACACAGAGCACCTGCCACTACAGAGTAGGAGTGTAATAAGAAGACCTCTATGCTGTTTGTATAGTCAGACATACAAAGGATCGGAAGGCCCTCTCAAAGCCACACTACCATTGACTCAACTGAACCCTGCCTGTGCTTGCGGCTGAGACCATTTAATACAATCATAGAGAAAAAATCAACAGAAAATGCTAAGGGAAAATTTGGACGCTGCAGACAAACCTAATCTCTTATGACAGTCCATTAGCGGATTTGGCTGTGGGTGCTGAGATTAAGACCAACCTAACAATGATACATCTTAACAATAACCTACCCAGATACAGTAGGCTGTCCAGCTGTTCTCTGGTGAAGGCGATGTCTCCGTTGTGGTCTGCTTCTATTCCTGAGACCTGCAGGACACCATGGATCTCCTCACGCACCACTGCAAGGGCCTCTGGGTGCGTCACCAGGTAATACATGGCCCAAAAGGTGGCTGGAACTGTGTTTCCCACCGAAGCCCATAGAATGGCAAAATGATGAGCTGGGGCAGGTAAAGGTAAGAAAGAGTTATATTTAAATCAAATCTATGTTTACAAATTTGCAGATGTTAACACAGGTGCAGTGAAATGCTTGAATTTATAGCTGTAACAGTGCAGTAATACACACACAATCCCCAAAAATATTTGAAGAAAAAAATTAAGAAATATCAGAACGAGCAATGGCAGATTCTGAAATGTATATGAATATATAATTTATATATATAAATAAATTACAAATGTATATAAATATAAATGTATATAAATATATATGTACATATAATGGTGTGTATAGACAGTATGGACAGTGTATGAATAGAAAAGGTGTGTAAAGCAGTAGTTGTATAGGATGAGACATGACTAGAATACAGTATATACATATAAAGTGGGTAAAACAGTATGTAAACATTATTAAAGTGACCAGTGTTCAATGACTATGTACAGTGAGGGAAAAAAGTATTTGAATCCCTGCTGATTTTGTACATTTGCCCACTGACAAAGAAATGATCAGTCTATAATTTTAATGGTAGGTTTATTTGAACAGTGAGACAGAATAACAAAAACAAATCCAGAAAAACGCATGTCGAAAATTGTATACATTGATTTGCATTTTAATGAGGGAAATAAGTATTTGACCCCCTCTCAATCAGAAAGATTTCTGGCTCCCAGGTGTCTTTTATACAGGTAACGAGCTGAGATTAGGAGCACACTCTTAAAGGGAGTGCTCGTAATCTCAGCTTGTTACCTGTATAAAAGACACTTGTCCACAGAAGCAATCAATCAATCAGATTCCAAACTCTCCACCATGGCCAAGACCAAAGAGCTCTCAAAGGATGTCAGGGACAAGATTGTAGACCTACACAAGGCTGGAATGGGCTACAAGACCATCGCCAAGCAGCTTGGTGAGAAGGTGACAACAGTTGGTGTGATTATTCGAAAATGGAAGAAACACAAAATAACTGTCAATCTCCCTCGGCCTGGGGCTCTATGCAAGATCTCACCTTGTGGAGTTGCAATGATCATGAGAACGGTGAGGAATCATCCCAGAACTACACAGGAGGATCTTGTCAATGATCTCAAGGCAGCTGGGTCCATAGTCACCAAGAAAACAATTGGTAACACACTACGCTGTGAAGGACTGAAATCCTGCAGCGCCCCCTGCTCAAGAAAGCACATATACATGCCCGTCTGAAGTTTGCCAATGAACATCTGAATGATTCAGAGGAGAACTGGGTGAAAGTGTTGTGGTCAGATGAGACCAAAATCGAGCTCTTTGGCATCAACTCAACTCGCCGTGTTTGGAGGAGGAGGAGGAATGCTGCCTATGACCCCAAGAACACCATCCCCACCGTCAAACATGGAGGTGGAAACATTATGCTTTGGGGGTGTTTTTCTGCTAAGGGAACAGGACAACTTCACCGCATCAAAGGGACAATGGACGGGGCCATGTACCGTCAAATCTTGGGTGAGAACCTCCTTCCCTCTGCCAGGGCATTGAAAATGGGTCGTGGATGGGTATTCCAGCATGACAATGACCCAAAACACACGGCCAAGGCAACAAAGGAGTGGCTCAAGAAGAAGCACATTAAGGTCCTGGAGTGGCCTAGCCAGTCTCCAGACCTTAATCCCATAGACAATCTGTGGAGGGAGCTGAAGGTTCGAGTTGCCAAACATCAGCCTCGAAACCTTAATGACTTGGAGAAGATCTGCAAAGAGGAGTGGGACAAAATCCCTCCTGAGATGTGTGCAAACCTGGTGGCCAACTACAAGAAACGTCTGACCTCTGATTGCCAACAAGGGTTTTTCCACCAAGTACTAAGTCATGTTTTGCAGAGGGGTCAAATACTTATTTCCCTCATTAAAATGCAAATCAATTTATAGCATTTCTGACATGCGTCTTTCTGGATTTTTTTGTTGTTATTCTGTCTCTCACTGTTCAAATAAACCTACCATTAAAATTATAGACTGATCATGTCTTTGTCAGTGGGCAAACGTACAAAATCAGCAGGGGATCAAATACTTTTTTCCCTCACTGTACATAGGGCAGCAGTCTCTAAGGTGCAGGGTAGAGTACCGGGTGGTAGCCGGCTAGTAACAGTGACTCAGGGCAGGGTACTGGGCAAGAGTTACCCAGAGTTACTCGGTAAGAGTTACAACTGAGGTTTGGAATGTCCTTGTTGAAGTCAAAGTAGTACATTTTATGTTGTAGGTGCATACAGAGAGGAAAGCATCTACATGGTGACATGTGTTTACGTTGGTTATTACTGTGTAGGTATAAGGGCATATAGTAAAGGTAAGGTTAAGTGTTACTGAGATACAGTAGGTTTACATACCGGTAGTCAAATTTAGGAAGTAAGATAAAGTGCTGCATAGAAATGTATAAAAAAAGGCCAGGTGCTACAGGATATCAACTGTGTTTACCTGCTTTATCTACGTCTCCCATGCTGTCATACTGTTCAAACAGTGCTGCTCTTTCCTTTATGAACCCTGAGGTGTTGGACCATCGAGACATTCTCTGAGGGTGGAAGTAGTTGATCAGTTTATCTCGGATGGCCTTGGTTCCTCCCAGCAGAGAGATTGGGATCCTGGCAATGAGGAGGGGGAACATGGTGTCGAACTTGACAAAGTCCTCTCGAAGCGTCACCATTCCGCTGTGTCTGCTGGTGTGGGCAGGCTTGCCAAAGATGGTCAGGAAAGTAGCCTCAAACATGATTGAATTGCAGAATTGGTACACACTTTCAGTCCTCCACTCGCTCTCCCCACTCAGGTAGTCTTGTCGGAACACAAACATAAGATTTCCCATCATGCTCTCTGTCAGGTTATCGAGGTTCTCGCCCTGTAGAAGACGGAAGGACCTCTGGATGTGCTCGTCCATGCCGGGGAACTTGCCGCTCCTGACAGGGGGGTAGCCGAACGTCATGGGGGCCACTTGGTCAGAAAACTCATGGAAGTCCAGCTGTTTTCGATGTTTGATGACGTACGGATACAGCAACGGATTCATTATGAAGGTCATGTATTTGCCTGAGAGGAAATGTGAGGACAGGATTGTATTTCAATAGACATGAAACATGTGTACTGTCTAATCATATTGTTTGTAACTTTACTGTTATTAAATACAATTTAAAGAAGCACAATACATGATATACAGTGAGGGAAAAAAGTATTTGATCCCCTGCTGATTTTGTACGTTTGCCCACTGACAAAGACAAGATCAGTCTATAATTTTAATGGTAGGTTTATTTGAACAGTGAGAGACAGAATAACAACAATAAAATCCAGAAAAACTCATGTCAAAAATGTTATAAATTGATTTGCATTTTAATGAGGGAAATAAGTATTTGACCCCTCTGCAAAACATGACTTAGTGGCAAAACCCTTGTTGGCAATCACAGAGGTCAGACGTTTCTTGTAGTTGGCCACCAGGTTTGCACACATCTCAGGAGGGATTTTGTTCCACTCCTCTTTGCAGATCTTCTCCAAGTCATTAAGGTTTCGAGCCTGACGTTTGGCAACTCGAACCTTCAGCTCCCTCCACAGATTTTCTATGGGATTAAGGTCTGGAGACTGGCTAGGCCACTCCAGGACCTTAATGTGCTTCTTCTTGAGCCACTCCTTTGTTGCCTTGGCCGTGTGTTTTGGGTCATTGTCATGCTGGAATACCCATTGACGACCCATTTTCAATGCCCCGGCTGAGGGAAGGAGGTTCTCACCCAAGATTTGATGGTACATGGACCCGTCCATCGTCCCTTTGATGCGGTGAAGTTGTCCTGTCCCCTTAGCAGAAAAACACCCCCAAAGCATAATGTTTCCACCTCCATGTTTGATGGTAGGGATGGTGTTCTTGGGGTCATAGGCAGCATTCCTCCTCCTCCAAACACGGCGAGTTGAGTTGATGCCAAAGAGCTCCATTTTGGTCTCATCTGACCACAACACTTTCACCCAGTTCTCCTCTGAATCATTCAGCTGTTCATTGGCAAACTTCAGACGGGCCTGTATATGTGCTTTCTTGAGCAGGGGAACCTTGCGGGCGCTGCAGGATTTCAGTCCTTCACGGCGTAGTGTGTTACCAATTGTTTTCTTGGTGACTATGATCCCAGCTGCCTTGAGATCATTGACAAGATCCTCCCGTGTAGTTCTGGGCTGATTCCTCACTGTTCTCATGATCATTGCAACTCCACGGGGTGAGATCTTGCATGGAGCCCCAGGCCAAGGGAGATTGACATGTCTTTTGTGTTTCTTCCATTTTCGAATAATCACACCAACTGTTGTCACCTTCTCACCAAGCTGCTTGGCGATGGTCTTGTAGCCCATTCCAGCCTTGTGTAGGTCTACAATATTGTCCCTGACATTCTTGGAGAGCTCTTTGGTCTTGGCCATGGTGGAGAGTTTGGAATCTGATTGATTGATTGCTTCTGTGGACAGATGTCTTTTATACAGGTAACAAGCTGAGATTAGGAGCACTCCCTTTAAGAGTGTGCTCCTAATCTCAGCTCGTTACCTGTATAAAAGACACCTGGGAGCCAGAAATCTTTCTGATTGAGAGGGGGTCAAATACTTATTTCCCTCATTAAAATGCAAATCAATGTATAACATTTTTGACATGCGTTTTTCTGGATTTTTTTGTTGTTATTCTGTCTCTCACTGTTCAAATAAACCTACCATTAAAATTATAGACTGATCATTTCTTTGTCAGTGGGCAAACGTACAAAATCAGCAGGGGATCAAATACTTTTTTCCCTCACTGTACATTTTATCAAAAAATTTCAGCAATATACACTACCAGTCAAAAGTTTGGACACATCTACTCATTCAAGGGTTTTTCTTAATTTTTTACATTTTTTTTTACATTGTAGAATAATAGTGAAGACATCAAAACTATGAAATAACACATATGGAATCATGTAGTACCAAAAAAAGTGTTAAACAAATCTAAATATATTTATATTTGAGATTCTTCAAAAAGCCACCCTTTGCCTTGATGACAGCTTTGCACACTCTTGGCATTCTCTCAACCAGCTTCATGAGGTAGTCACCTGGAATGCATTTCAATTAACAGGTGTGCCTTCTTAAAAGTTAATTTGTGGAATTTCTTTCCTTCTTAATGCGTTTGAGAAAATCAGTTGTGTTGTGACAAAGAAAGGTAAGGGGAGTATACAGAAGATAGCCCTATTTGGTAAAAGACCAAGTCCATATAATAGCAAGAACAGCTCAAATAGGCAAAGAGAAATGACAGTCCATCATTACTTTAAGCCATGAAGGTCAGTCAATACGGAATATTTCAAGAACTTTTAAAGTTTCTTCAAGTGCAGTCGCAAAAACCATCAAGCACTATGATGAAATTGGCTCTCATGAGGACCACCACAGGAATGGAAGACCCAGAGTTACCTCTGCTGCAGAGGATAAGTTCATTCAGAGTTACCAGCCTTAGAAATTGCAGCCCAAATAAATGCTTCAGAGTTCAATTACAGACACATCTCAACATCAACTGTTCAGAGGGGACTGTGTGAATCAGGCGTTCATGGTCGAATTGCTGCAAAGAAACCACTACTAAAGGACACCAATAAGAAGAAGAGACCTGCTTGGGCCAATAAACACAAGCAATGGACATTAGACCGGTGGAAATTTGTCCTTTGGTCTGGAGTCCAAATTTGAGATCTTTGGTTCAAACCGCCGTGTCTTCGTGAGATGCGGTGTGGGTGAACGGATGATCTCCGCATGTGTAGTTCCCACCGTAAAGCATGGAGGTGGTGTTATGGTGTGGGGGTGCTTTGCTGGTGACACTGTCTGTGATGTATTTAGAATTCAAGGCACACTTAACCAGCATGGCTAACACAGCATTCTTCAGCGATACGCCATCCCCTCTGGTTTGGGCTTAGTGGGACTATAATCTGTTTTTCAACAGGACAATGACCCAACACATCTCCAGGCTGTGTAAGGCCTATTTTACCAAGAAGGAGAGTGATGGAGTGCTGCATCAGATGACCTGGCCTCCACAATCTCCCGACCTCAACCCAATTGAGATGGTTTGGGATGAGTCGGACGGCAGAGTGAAGGAAAAGCAGCCAACAAGTGCTCAGCATATGTGGGAACTCCTTCAAGACTGTTGGAAAATCATTCCAGGTGAAGCTGGTTGAGAGAATGCCAAGAGTGTGAAAAACGGTCATCAAAGCAAAGGGTGGCTATTTGAAGTATCTCAAATATAAAATATATTTTGATTTGTTTAACACTTTTTTGGTTAACACATGTTATTTCATAGTTTAAGTCTTCACTATTATTCTACAATGTAAAAAAAAATAGTAAAACTAAAGAAAAACCCTTGAATGAGTAGGTGTGTCCAAACTTTTGACTGGTACTGTACATTTGCTCCTTTTTGAACCATGCTATGATAAAATGTATACACTAATATTTATTACCCACCAGCAATCAGCACAGTAAATACATCTCCATGTTTCTCCTTATGTGCTGCAAGAAATCCATGTGCATTCTTTCCAAACTCCAAAGCCTTCCCAAGGAATGGAATCCAACCATTTATAAGTGGAGGCTCCCCATCTCTCCTATTAAAAGAGAAAAACATAAGAAATGTGTATTTTACATGAGGTAATATCAGATATACAGTATGTCATATCACCAACAAACATATCCACCTAAACATTTTCAGAAGAAATAAGAGATAAAACATAGATCTGACTGATTCAGATGCAATATAAATGCAAGCCTAAGTGATTAGAACTACTAACAACAAAGGAACTACTAACAACACCTTTGCAATATTCATGAGACAAGGTGTACAATGTGATCGGGTGTCTCTCAAACCTTCAAGGTGGACTGGTATCAGCTACCCTCATTCTCCTTTACCACATACAGTGTACCAAACAAATACAGCAGCTACTGGTCAGCAAGGTATACTAAATAAATAAATAATTTAAAGCCTGAAAACTGAGCACACAGACATGCCACAGAGCATCATTTCAGACCAAATTAGCTGACAGAGCAGGAATCACTCCAGGCCCTTACAAACGGTATCCAACAAACTGCTTTCAACAGCTGTATCTTAAGGGAATGCAGATGGAAACAATTACAAAGGCAATGTGGGAGTCCTGCATAGCAATGTCATAGCTCAGAGCAATTACAGGAAGAGATAGCTGACTATTTTCCCAGGGAAATGTAACACTGTAAATCTAACACTGCTGTTCTCTCTATCCATGTTTTACGGTTCTAATGAAATATTATCTTATCTTCCTATCGTGTGTGTATGGCTCCCTTTGAGGTTCTTATCTCAGCTAAGGTTACTATGGTTTATTTTATTTTCAAATCAACAAGCTTTGACAAACATTCGCAGCTCAAGACTATCAGAATCAGAGGCAACAAAAATATGTTTCTGTCCCTAGGCCAAGGAATGTCATGATCTATTAATAACTGTGGTGTTGGAGGGTGCAGTAAAAAATCATGCATACATTAGCTTTGGCCTAAAGAAATGCTGGAGGCACTTTTTTGATCCTGTCAACAGGACTTACACACACACACACACACACTGGGCCTTTCAACACACACTGACTGGACAGGCCTAATATTTACTCCACTTAGAAGCTATGCCTAAGCACAAAACATTATTTCTCCTTTATTATGGATGATCTTGCGGTAGTGGCCAGAAAACGAATACAAAACTAGCTGCTTCAAAAAGCTATTATCAAAGATTTTGCTAACACTTAACGTAGAGAGGTGACATGTAGCATTCATAAAGCCTTTATAAGCATTACATAAAGAGTCATAATGCCTTTCATATTATGATTTTTGAAGCTTAGGTATATGTTTACCAATCAGGATTAATTTGACCAGTTAGAGGTAGCGCTGGTGAGACATTTGCTTATATAGTCTATAGCCACAGGGTGTGTACACTAGACTATTAGCATCCAGTGGCTGACCTAGGGGCACAATGTTACCCGTCATCTTCACCCTTATTTGCCCTATAGAAACACAATGTCAGTGGGTCATCATACTGATGAAATTGAGGCAACATTGTAAGGTGCATTATACTACAAAGCATTGTGCCATTGAACACAAATAGATAGGCTAACTGTTACATCATCCTTCCTGTGCTGTGTACTTGTTTTTGGAAACAACATGTCTTATGCAAGGAAGATACTGTATCTAGAGCTGACTTGATGCAGCACGGAGCAGTCTTCTGTTTCACAAAATAATGCATGAGATCAACTAACCAATACTAATCTGTGCAACGTCGGTACTAAACTAACTCATGTGTGCTTATCCATCCGAGGGTTAGTGTGGAGAGAGCGGGTCATGAGAGACGATCTGCTATTTGTGAGGCCTCAAGCTGACAAGTCTCAGCCGAGGCTTACTTGTTGTTGTTGTGCTTGTGCCCCCCACCTAGTCCACACTGCTGCCTGCCTGTCTGCCTGCCAGCCAGCCACTTGTCAGAAGCAATCAGGAAGTCTGATAGTGTCTGCCAGCAGTGAGCACATTTGGATAGGCCAGCATCAGAGTAAAGGCCCCATGCGTCAGTAACAATATTAGAACAGATGTCCACACTGCGCCAATGAGTATCAATTAGACCTGCCATTTATTTTCCCTTTCACATTTAACAAAATAAAATGATATGTAGAATATGGAATCCCATTTACCTTTACTGTTGAGGCCCTATTTGACTGCTTAGAGAGTATCGCTTCCTCCTGATTCGGCTCATAACGAGGCTTGAACCCAGGACCTCTGCCTTGCTAGTACACCTGACTAGGGCTGGTAGTCAAATTCCACGTGACCTTTTAGTCACGGTAATTAGGCTTCTCCAAGCTATGATGCTGCTGCTGGTCATTAGTAGCCTACCAAACTTGCTAACTGCCTGGTACTCAGCACTCTATTGTCCCTCTAATCACTCTGACATCAATGCAAATGTAATCGAAAATCTAATCAAACACTTCATGAGAGCCCATGAGCTCATGTTGTGCAACATTTCTATAATTGCATGAGAAAACAAGAGTGATTGCCTCTATTAAAAAGAGGATCCATCAGTTTCTATAGGTTAGGCCTACTATATTTATTTCTCATCTTTCCTAATAAGCACATTGCTTCTCTTTACAACAGGAGTACAGCCTACCTGGCTGGCATGAAAATGAACCACAGGAAAAGCGTCCTCCATTCCCTATTTAAGTGCATAAATGACATGTATTATTTTCCCCTGCTCCGGTTTCGAGACAGGTGCATGATAATGGTCCAAGATGAAAAGACAAGATGAAATTAAGAATAGTCTGATGGGTGACAATATTAGCCTATCACTTGTAAATGATATATTATCACTTGTGAATGATGGCCAGCTTGTGTGCAGTAAGGCAAGAAACAGTGCATGCCTTTTATAAATAACTTTTTCAAATCATAGTCACACACCTCATGTAGCCTAGTCCATAGGCCTATATGTTTTGATAAGGTTTGTATCACAACTAAAGTGGCCAAATAACTTCTTAAAATTAAGCACATTAATTTGCTTTACAACGGGTGTAGAGCCTAACTGGCATACATACGCAGTGTGTGAGTTTCAAGTTTGGGGAAGATAACTTTCACCATAAAAATGAACCTTTATTATAAAAGCATTAAATGCATAATCGAATTTGCGGTCATTTTTGAGAATTGTGTTTTCCTGCTAATTGATGGCATTTTGGAACATTCGCGCTTATAGCCTATTGCCGTGTGCGCATTGCCGCGCTTATAATGTGAAGAAATAACCTAATAGTTTATTAACATTTTAAGCTAAATGTTCTGATCTGTTGCACCAGCCTCATTGCTTAAAAAAGTTTTTCTGATGCTAGTGGTTGTATTCATTTGGGATCTATCGCATCCCACAACGGTCCCAGACTATGTTTGGAATATTTATTTCTTGCACAGAATAGGCCAAATGTGTACTATGGGGGATAGTAGATTGACATAGGCTAGTGCTTTTGCTGTTCGTTAGGCCTACTCATCTTGTTGGCTGACGAAAAGTAATTGTGGACAGTTCTTCCAATATCTTCAATATGTGCATTGGAATTGGATAAGGACGCGCACAGTTGTGTCCCCGATGTGTCTGTCTTCACTTGTAGCCTGTGAGAAAGACCCGATCACGTGACGGGCATTGGCTAATAGGAACTGAGATCTGAGAGAGCCATGTGAGTGAGAGGTGCTTTGGAGAACGCAGCCGGGAGAAGGGAATTATAATTATTATATTCAGCCCAAGGGCACAACGGCCACTGGCCGCAAAAGGCATGGATTTTTTTAGGGGACATTACATCCACACAAAGGGGATGCCTCCAGGAAATTCGAGGCATTATCAAGTGCTTGTCAAATTGTGAATGAGAGACTGATGAAGTGTGTGCAGCCTGCGCAAAAAACAAAGCAGAGCTCATGCCTTTCATGCAACTTTTTTCAAAACATCATTAGAGTCGCATCATGCAGTTAAAAATCTAAACATATAGCCCAACGTTTGTATCACAACTTAAGTTGGATAAATAACTCTAAATTAAGAGGACCATAACATGCACTTTCCTTTTGCGTAGATAAGATGAGCAGGGTGGGGAAAACTCAGAATGATGACTATCCTGGGTTCAAATACTATTATAAATCATTTCAAATACTTTCTGTGCTTGAGCTTGCTTGGCTTAATGGACAAATGGTCCCAAAACTGCAAACCCCGCCTATCTGGCACTCCAGGCAGTCTACTCTAGACTATAGAGCAAATGCTCAAAATATTAGAAAGAGTTAAAATTGTATTTTAACCCACCAGGTCTGATCCTCAAATCAAATCCTCAGTGAGTGCTCCTCTGGGAGCTGACCAGCCCAGTACACACAATGCTGAAGGAAATGCCTTTAGAGACTGTTTGCGGCTGACCTACTTCTTACAGAGAACACAGTGAGTTGTACTCCCAAATGGCACCCTATTCCCTATGTAGTGCACTACTTTTGACCAAAGAAAGAGCCCTATAGGCCCTGGTCAGAAGTAGGGCACTATGAAGGTAATAGGGTGCCATTTGTGACACATCCAGTGTGTTTGCAGTCCCATGAACTGTCGATGCGCTCGGGATAAGCGCGTCCCTGCTAAATTACTAACATTTCCAAAATGTAAGACATTCATTAACTGCAACCAGCTGTCTTATGAAGAGGAAATAATAAAGGTATTTAAGATTATGCAAACTATGGTCAAACAGCAAACAAAAGGTAAAGGACTGTTTGCTTGGTCAAATAGCTACACTCAGTGGCATACATAGGCTGCTGTCATAGAATATTTACATTGTTACAATACCATCTATATCCCTCAAACTCAGGACTGGACCTCTTAGCCCATTGTTCCCATCTAATCAGGGACTGTGAACTACGCTAAAATTGTTGTGCCGAATTTGAAAAACGCTGCTCATGTTCTTACACAAGACAGTCTGATGCTTTGTTCAAATAATCGACTGTTTGATATTAGTCACATAAAGAACTTGTGTTTAAGGAACGTGGCCAGGATTCTCCAACAAATATGTTGATCAGTTTCAAGTGTTTAGGCAAAAGTTTAATTCCTAGCATACAGCAACCAACGCGAACACCAACAAAGTTGAAATAAACTATAAATTCATTCGCCACTTGCCTTGTTCTTCCGAATCGCACGCTGAGTAAGTAGAGCGCCAAAAAGCCAAGAAACAATGGTAAAACAAACTCTAACATTTCTTTGGAAAATGATCAGACATTCCTCAATGGAGAAAACCTCTGTAAATTGTAATCGATAGCTGAAGTGTCTGCTCTCAGTCATACTGCCAACCAGTTCCCGTTCGGCTTTGGTCACGTGGGTTCGCTCTTTCAGTCACCGATGTTAGGCTACACACAGGGATACAAATCATTAAATATATTGAGTCAAAGTACAGACAGTAGACTACAGCAAAATACAACTAAATTGATTGAACATTAAATGTATTTCAATATGACTGAAAATAGGCCTATAGACAAGCACTGTTTATGTTTGAATGCAGTCATCTCGGTTTTCTTTTTATACTTCACTTGTTTGTATCAATTGCAAAGACATTGGCAATTTTGTTCTGAAGTTATCTGCTGTCACAGAGAGACAGATTAACCATGTGATTATATGTTTAGCGGTGATATTCTGTGTATGAAGTGACGCGGAGGGTAAAAAGCATTATGATGTATGTAGCTGTTTTATGAGTGGAGGCAGGCGTTAGATTACGAGCGTTTTAAATACAATGTTAATAATGATGGTTTTGGGAAACAGCTCGGAGATTTAACAACGCTCCTACTAAGGTTCTAACGATTAATTTGAAGCCTTAAAATGGGCCCTGACCACTAGGCTATCTAACAAAGACCTGTATTATGCGGGACAATGTATCCTTTATTAGGCTACAGGAAGTCAGTAGTAGGCCTACATTCACAGATTTGATGAACGAAGCCTTGTCTATGTGTAGCAATGCTGTAGTGTTGAGCTCAATACATGTTTTTCTGGATTTTGTCTGCAGTCTAGTAAAGGTCTGACTGGGAAAAACCCAACTCCGACTTTCCGAACTGAAGATCACTGTAGTCATGATTTGAGCTAGTTGTTTCGCCGAGTTCCCAGTTGTCTTGAAAGCACCATATATCCTCTCGAACAGGGTTTCCCAAAATCGGTGCACGTTTTGTTTTTTGCCCTAGCACTACACAGCTGGTTCAAAAAATTTACTAATCATCAAGCTTTGATCATTTGAATCAGCAGTGTAGTGTTAGGGCAAAAATCAAAACGTGCACCCCTTGGGGTCCCAAGGACCGAGTTTGGGAAACGCTGCTCTAGAACATGGTATTATGCAATGCATTCACTCCTGCCTTGTTGCTGCATGTGCACAAACAGCTAGATAACGGAGGCATAGGGCGTAGCCTACCTGGCTAGCCTACTACTGTAAACAAAGAACAATGGCATATCATTACTTTCACATAAAGGACATGTCATCATCAATGCATGCAGTTGCTGGAGGGTTGCTTTCTGATTAAAAAATAAAAACCTTCAATTTGGATTTAGCGGTATCTCAACTTTATACAGGCTTTAATCTCAGTTAGCCCAGAACTAAAATATTGCGTAATTTGGTCAGATCTGTCCACAAGAGATTATACAGAGTTAGAACCTTCAACAGTATCATTGATTGACATACTGTGCAGTATCACATCATCAAATCAAATTTTATTTGTCACATGCACCGAATACAACAGGTGAAATGCTTACTTACCTTACTGTGAAATGCTTACTTACGAAAAAAAGTAAGAAAAATGTGCTAAATAAACTAAAGGGAAAATAGTAACACAATAAATTAACAATAATTACGCTATATACAAGGGGTACTGGTACCGAGTCAATGTGTAGGGATACATACGGGTTAGTCGAGGTAATTGCGGTAATATGTACATGTAGGTAGGGGTAAAGTGACTATGCATAGATAATAAACAGAGAGTAGCAGCAGCATATGTGAAGAGTGTGAAGGAATGTGAATGCATATGTGTGTGTGTGGGGGGCGTCAATATGCATGTCTGTTGGAGTTTCAGTGTAGTATGTGTGGTTAGAGCCCAGTGAGTGTACATCGGGCCTGTGCAAGAGAGTCAGTGCAAAAAATAAGAATAAATCAAAATTAAATAAGGGGGTCAATGCAAATAGTCAGGGTAACCATTTGATTAAATGTTCAGCAGTTTCATGGCTTGGGGGTAGAAGCTATGTAGGCATTTTGGTCCCAGACCTGGCGCTCCGGTACCGCTTGCCATGCGGTAGCAGAGAGAACAGTCTTTGACAATTTTTAGGGCATTCCTCTGACACCGCCTGGTATAGAGGTCCTGGATGGCAGGAAGCTCGACCCCAGTGATGTGCTGGGCCATACGCACTACCCTCTGTAGCGCCTTGGGGTTGGATGCCGAGCAGTTGCTTTACCAAGCGGTGAGGCAACCAGTCAGGATGCTCTCGATGGTGCAGCTGTATAACTTTTTGAGGATCTGAGGTCCTATGCCAAATCTTTTCAGGAATAGGCATTGTCGTGCCCTCTTCACGACTGTCTTGGTGTGTTTGGATCATGATAGGTCCTTAGTGATGTGGACAACAAGGAACTTAAAGCTCTCGACCCGCTCCACTACAGCCCCGTTGATGTGAATGGGGGTGTGCTTGGCCCTGCTTTTCCTGTAGTCCACGATCAGCTACTTTGTCTTGCTCACGTTGTTGTCCTGGCACCACACTGCCAGGTCTCTGATCTCCTCCCTAAAGGCTGTCTCATCGTCATCAGTGATCAGGCCTACAACCTTCGTGTCGTCGGCAAACTTAATGATAGTGTTGGAATCGTGTGTGGCCACGCAGTCCTGGGTGAACAGGGAGTACAGGAGGGGACTAACCACGCACTCCTGAGGGGCACCGTGTTGAGGGTCAGCATGGCGGATGTGTTGTTGCCTACCCTCACCACCTGGAGGTGGCCCATCAGGAATTCCAGGATCCAGTTGCAGAGGGAGGTGTTCAGTCCCAGACGCCTTAGCTTAGTGATGAGCTTGGAGGGCACTATGGTGTTGAACACTGAGCTGTAGTCAATGAACAGCATTCTCACGTAGGTGTTCCTTTTATCCAGGTGGGAAAGGGCAGTGTGGAGTGCAATAGAGATTGTGTCATCTGTGGATTTGTTGGGGCAGTATGCGAATTGGAGTGGGTCCAGGGTTTGTGGGATGATGGTGTTGATGTGAGCCATGACCAGCCTTTCAAAGCATTTCATGGCTACAGATGTGAGTGCTACAGGGCGGTAGTCATTTAGGCACGTTACCTTGGCGTTCTTGGGCACAGGGATTATGGTGGTCTGTTTGAAACATGTAGGTATTACAGACTGGGTCAGGGAGTGGTTGAAAATGTCAGTGAAGACACTTTCCGGCTGGTCAGCGCATGCTCTGAGTACGCGTCCTGGTACTCCATCTAGCCCTGCGGCTTTGTGAATGTTAACCAGTTTAAAGATCTTAATCACATCGTCTACGGAGAGCGTGATCACACAGTGTTGCTTGCCTCAAAGCGAGAATAGAAGGCATTTAGCTCGTCTGGTAGGCTCACGGCACTGGGCAGCTCGCGGCTCGGTTTCCCTTTGTAATCCGTTATAGTTTGCAAGCCCTGCCTCATCCGACGAGTGTCAGAGCCGGTGTAGTAGGATTTGATCCTAGGCCTGTTTGATGGTTCGTCGGGGGGCATAGCAGGATTTCTTATAAGCGCCTGTATTAGTGTCCCGCTCCTTGAAAGCGTCAGCTCTAGCCTTTAGCTCAGTGTGGATGTTGACTGTTGCATGGCTTTTGGTTGGTATATGGCACAGGAGGCTCATAATAAATCAAATCAAATCAAATCAAATTTTATTGGCCACATGCGCCGAATACAACAGGTGCAGACATTACAGTGAAATGCTTACTTACAGCCCTTAACCAACAGTGCATTTATTTTTAACAAAAAAGTAAAAATTAAACAACAACAAAAAAAGTGTTGAGAAAAAAAGAGCAGAAGTAAAATAAAATAACAGTAGGGAGGCTATATATACAGGGGGGTGCCGGTGCAGAGTCAATGTGCGGGGGCACCGGCTAGTTGAGGTAGTTGAAGTAATATGTACATGTAGGCAGAGTTAAAGTGACTATGCATAAATCATTAACAGAGTAGCAGCAGAGTAAAAGGATGGGGTGGGGGGGCAGTGCAAATAGTCTGGGTAGCCATGATTAGCTGTTCAGGAGTCTTATGGCTTGGGGGTAGAAGCTGTTGAGAAGTCTTTTGGACCTAGACTTGGCACTCCGGTACCGCTTGCCGTGCGGTAGCAGAGAGAACAGTCTATGACTAGGGTGGCTGGAGTCTTTGACAATTTTGAGGGCTTTCCTCTGACACCGCCTGGTATAGAGGTCCTGGATGGCAGGAAGCTTGGCCCCAGTGATGTACTGGGCCGTACGCACTACCGTCTGTAGTGCCTTGCGGTCGGAGGCCAAGCAGTTGCCATACCAGGCGGTGATGCAACCAGTCAGGATGCTCTCGATGGTGCAGCTGTAGAATTTTTTGAGGATCTGAGGAACCATGCCAAATCTTTTCAGTCTCCTGAGGGGGAATAGGCTTTGTCGTGCCCTCTTCACGACTGTCTTGGTGTGTTTGGACCATGATAGTTCGTTGGTGATGTGGACACCAAGGAACTTGAAGCTCTCAACCTGTTCCACTACAGCCCCGTCGATGAGAATGGGGGCGTGCTCAGTCCTCTTTTTTTTCCTGTAGTCCACAATCATCTCCTTTGTCTTGGTCACGTTGAGGGAGAGGTTGTTGTCCTGGCACCACACGGCCAGGTCTCTGACCTCCTCCCTATAGGCTGTCTCATCGTTGTCGGTGATCAGGCCTACCACTGTTGTGTCGTCGGCAAACTTAATGATGGTGTTGGAGTCGTGCCTGGCCATGCAGTCATGGGTGAACAGGGAGTACAGGAGGGGACTGAGCACGCACCCCTGAGGGGCCCCCGTGTTGAGGATCAGTGTGGCAGATGTGTTGTTACCTACCCTTACCACTTGGGGGCGGCCTGTCAGGAAGTCCAGGATCCAGTTGCAGAGGGAGGTGTTTAGTCCCAGGATCCTTAGCTTAGTGATGAGCTTTGAGGGCACTATGGTGTTGAATGCTGAGCTGTAGTCAATGAATAGCATTCTCACGTAGGTGTTCCTCTTGTCCAGGTGGGAAAGGGCAGTGTGGAGTGCAATAGAGATTGCATCATCTGTGGATCTGTTGGGGCGGTATGCAAATTGGAGTGGGTCTAGGGTTTCTGGGATAATGCTGTTGATGTGAGCCA